TGTGCTGTTAATGAGACTCATTTGATTGGTTAATAACCCAGAATGACTTGTAGATCTGGAAGTCTACTGGAGTCAAATGGTTGGATTTTTTACAAAATATTTTTTATATCTTTACTTTTACACTGTGCAAAATCAGGGAACTGTTAAATTCATCTGCTTAATTATTTTTTTTCTAAATTAATTATATAAGTTTTGTTTATATTATTTCATTAATTATCTCATTTTAGATTACTTAAAATAAAATAAAAAAATCTGTGATATCACTGCTTAAAAAGAATTAGGTATTTCTAATTAATTTAGATATGATGTGGCAACTTAAGTATATAAAATAATGTATTTAATAAAATATATAATATAAATAAAATATATTATCTGCTAATTAAACATGTCATATATATACACGTATATATACTTTGTTTTGTTTTATACTCTGTCTTTTCCAAAAGCAAACATAGAGACATGTTTCCCACTTCTGCACATCCTCTTCTCTTGTGCACTGGATGAAAACTTCACACAAAGTAATTTTTGCTCTGTCCACTGTTATACAGTGTAATCATCAATAATTCATGAAGTTTGTGCCAATTTGTTTCAGTCACAGAGGCATGTGCGCATGCAACTGTGTGGTTCACTTCCCGCATTTATAAATGAGTGTAAGCCATCAAAATGATCTATCGAGACATTCCCCATGACATTAGCAGAGGGTCCAGCTTTCAATTTAAAATGAGTATAAACAGACTTTATTTTGAAATATTAGGAAGCTTGTTTCACAGACTTCTATGTGGCAGAGATGAATTTTAAATAACTAGAAATAAATTGGAAATTTGACCAAAAGCACAGCAGCTGTGTTTTCTGACATCTGGTTTGGGTAGTTCTAGTCTCTTGGTTATGAATAGTAATGTCTCATCATTTATGTCTCTCGCATAACTGTTTTATTGCATAAAGGGGAGGCAAGAATTGGGAGCCCAGAGCTCATCTCAGCCTGATGTGCATTAGCATAACCTTTGATTAACTATTTTCCCATATGGCCCTTGTGGTGCTTGGATGTTTAATTTCCCGCACAAAGGGCTGCATTGAGCCTTCCATTAAGTGAGAACAGCACCGATTCATGCCAAGAACTGAGCTCGGATGTCCATGTGTAAAACATTTAACCTCTTATTGACCTGAGTGGATTATCAGTTTTTACACTTGTTTTAATACAGCAGTTTAAGTAGTGTTATTTTACAGTACGTCACATATTAAAGTGTATGAATGCTTGTATTATATAACAAAATATCAGTGTTTCATATATATTATATAACACATTTTCATATATATATATATAAAATATAATTTTATAATTGAATTAGTTTTTTTAATTTAATAAAAACCTACACGTGTGTGTGTGTGTGTGTGTGTGTGTGTGTGTTTTATATATATAT